CTTCTAACCTCCTAGAATGTTGTCAGCCATGCTCTCGTGAGTATATAAGGGTGTGGCATCGTCAGTCAGTCAGTGAGATAAGAATGAAGTGAAGCGAGAGTCCAGCTGTGATATTGTGAACCTGTTTTATTGTGTAGTTGTGAAAGTGTACTTGTGTTTTAAAACTTGAAGAGTATAAACAGTGACTGATAAAGGACATATTTAATGAGATGCCAGAGATATCTATTGAACACCTATCTACTGAAAAATATAAAAGAAATACTGTTACTACTTTTGCCACACTTAACACATAATATTTGATGACTTTCTAAGACTGTGGAACATAGACTTTTGCTCTCCCTAATACTGTCTGTTTTCCCCCATAGAAAAGAAAAGATGCCCCTGAAGAAGCCTTCAGGAGCTCAGGATAGGAAGCAAAAAGCTCAGTTGCAATCTAGTTTGCAGCAAGGGGCAAATTTGAAGGGAAAATATCTGAAACAGAACAACATAGACCGGGCTTTAGGCAGTAGCAATCGTCCCAGTGCAGAAGTAATTGAGGAGCAAAGCGTAAATGATGGAAGCCCTATTAATAAGGAATTGGCAGATTTACCTGAAGATAAGGAATGGAAATGTGAGAAAAATGATTCAGAATTGTCCAGCTTTCCTGGCAGCGTAAAGGAGAGTGATGACAAAGAAAAATCTGGTTTACATGAAAAGGAGAGAAATGATGGAGAAGAATCAGCCTTGCATGATGACAGGAACCGCAGTGAGAAATTGCACACCACAAATTGATACATCAGATCCTGCTTTATGGTTGGCAATCCTGAACTCTGCCAATATTGATTGTACACTTTTGAACGGACTGGACAAAATCGAGGATATGATGTTTCTCGTAAATGAGCAGAAGTGACACTTCTCAAAGTCACACTGTGGAAGAATGCTTGACAGTGGTGAGAAACTGGATCAGTGTTGGCTAGTTTCATCAAAATCAGCTGACAAAGTGTTCTGTTTTTGTTGCTAAATATTTAACAAGAATGCCGAATTGTTGTTTGCACTTTCCGGGTACAATTACTGGCATAACTTAGCTGATGCTCTGAAGCAACATGAAAAGTCACTCTGCCATTTTAAGGCCTACTCCAAATGGATAGAGGTCAAGTCCAGGCTCAAGCTAATAAATGAATAGATGCAGAAAACCAGTGCATTATTAATGTAGAAACCCAGCACTGGAGGAACGTGCTTGATTGTCTGATCTCAATTACCCTCTTCCTTGTTGTAACCATGCCTTCTTGGGTCACAAGTGAGGATGTTAAATTCAGGACGAACTGCTGAGAAATAGGGCAGATACACCCCAAGACTGGTGGCTAATCCCCCATAGGATATACCAAACCAGCAACAAAAGTAAACTTCTGTTTCACCACACTGACTAACAAGAAGTTATAAAAGCAGTTTCCTCCGGCATTCCTGTCCTTGTATTACCACCGAAAACACTGGATTTAAAAGTGAGTGGTTCTTTACAACCAGTCTCATCAAATAAAAGGTTCTTCTGATCCCAAAGGACCAGCCACACACCCAGGTCAATATATAACTAACAGATCTTATCCAAAAATCACACTGATGCCAATCCTTTAGTATCTAAAATCTAAAGATTTAATCATAAAAAGAAAGAAAGAAAGGTGAGAATTAAAATTGGTTAAAGCAGGGGTCGGCAACCTACAGCACGCGTGCCAAACACGGCACGTCAGCCGATTTTGAGTGGCACACAGCTCCCTGCCGCGGTCCCGGCCCCCAGCCCCACTCAGCCCTCCCGCCCACTGCTCTCCCCTGCGGGGGCAGGAGGCAAAAGCTTGGTTCTGCAGCACCCAAGCTTCCCCCCTACCCGGCTTCTTCCCCCAGCGTGGTGCTTTCCAGCCCCTCCTCCTCTCCTTCCCTGCGCCAATCAGCTGATGGCCCTAGCGAGTGGGAGGGGGAAGAGCGGCAGCGTGCACACAGCTCCATAGAGGACGCAGAGAGAGGTAGGGATGGAGCCTGGGGGAAGGGGGTGGATCAGGGCATATCGCTTCCAGCCCCCTGCCGTGAGCCGCTCAGGGTAGGGGCTGGGAGCACCCCCACGAGCCGAGCACCCCAGCCTTCTGCCTACACCCCCCACACACTCCAGCCCTCCGCCCTGAAACCCCCCACCCCAACACACACCCAGCCTTCTGCCCTGCACCTCCACAGCCCCATCCCTCTGCCCTGAACCCCCCCACACACACACTCAGCCTTCTGCCCTGCACCTCCACACCCCCAGCCCTCTGCCCTGAACCCCCCACACCCCAACACACACCCAGCCTTCTGCCCTACACCCCACACACATCCCAGCCTTCTGCACTGCACCCCCTTCCCCAACCCTCTGCCCTGACTCCTAAACGCCCACCCCCAGGTCTGGGGTCCTGACCGCAGGCCCTACTCAGCCCGCTGCCGGCCTAGGTGAACAGAACCCCAGGCTGGCAGCGAGCTGAGCAGGCTGGTGGCGTAAGATCAGCATTTTAATTTAATTTTAAATAACGCTTCTTAAACATTTTGAAAACCTTGTTTGCTTTACATACAATAGTTTAGTTATATAATATAGACTTATAGAAAGAGACCTTCTAAAAACGTTAAAATGTATTACTGGCACGCGAAACCTTAAATTAGAGTGAATAAATGAAGACTCGGCACACCACTTCTGAAAGATTGCCAACTCCTGGTATAGAGGGGAGAAGCTTGGATCAGCAGGAAGCACTGAAGTCACATCAGATGCTCTCCTTGCATTTCACCTGCTGATTAGTTTCTCAGACTTCATTTCTTCTGTGACACTTTAATATTGCTGACCTGAGCTGATCATGATATTGGCTTAAAAATAACAAGATTTTTAAAACAATAAATGTGGAGTTGGTACTATGTGTCTTTGGGTGTGGCACTTTTCAAGCTTTGATCCACAACCATGAGAGCTAGAAATGTTTGGGGTTTTTTTTGTTATGTTTTTGTTTTAGAGAAAGCGTCGATTCTCATGTAGTCACATGAATTCAGGAGCTGGGATTTAAGAAGAACCACAAATTTCATGGGAGTTGGTAACACTGTGCTCTCCATGATTTGTCTCAGCCACTGGCAAAATTCTGGGGGAAAGTTTAAGGAGAATCTACTCAGCCCATTTTTAATTAAATGAGCAGGAAAAAAGTATACTTTCCCCATTAAATAAAACTAAATAAAGTTGTTTTGTACATGTACAACTGAAAGCTGCTGAACTTTAGACTTCGCATGTGGTCAATCCTCCCTAAGAATTTAGGCTGCAGTTGTCTTTTAATATTTTATTTTCATAATTATCAGTGTTTTAAGTGATTAAAACTAGGTTTGGTATTTGTCAGTATTAAATTTTTACTCACTTTAAAGTTGTCTGCTCACTGATAGTACTATAGAGTTGTGTTAACTATTGTGCAACTCCATATTGGTGCGTCTATAGCAGTGGTTCTCAAACTGTGGTCAGGACACCAAAATGGAGTCGCTAGGGCCAGTATTAGACTTGTTGGGACCCAGGGCTGACGCTAAAGCCTGAGCTCAATCCCCACTTGGGGCAGTGAGACTCAGGCTCCAGCTCCCTGTCCCCCCACCCAGGGTGTCAGGGCTTGGGCTCCGCCCCCCGGTCACGTAATAACTTTGTTGTCAGAAGGGGGTCACGATGCAGTGAAGTTTGAGAACCCCTGATCATTAGAATAAGACCTGCCACCAACCCCAGTAATAGACAAATGTAAATTTAAAGTTAAGTTTTTCAATCCTTAAGGATATCAGATACACTTAAAGCGTCTTAGGTTTGGTGTAAATTGATTAACTCCTGATAAAAGTGTTTTTGAATTAAGGTTAAGAACTGTCAGTAATTACAGGTTTCAGAGTAGCAGCCGTGTTAGTCTGTATCCGCAAAAAGAAGAACAGGAGTACTTGTGGCACCTTAGAGACTAACAAATTTATTAGAGCATAAGCTTTCGTGGA